ATTAATAAGGGAATATTCGTGAATAATCACTTGATATCACACATATTTTATTACTTTTTTTAGACATTACTTTATTCGTGTATTTTTGCGCGCGTACCGTCAATAAATTGTTACCACATTAATTTTTTTTTATTAATGTACTTATATTGTAAAAGTTCTTACTTATCCTGATGAAATGTAATGTTATTGGTCAGTTTTGAATAACCAAGCTTGTGTTTGGCAAAGGACGTTCTCCCGGCGATCTCATTGTGTATAAGGCATACAGCTATAGACCCTTGAGAGATTGAAACCTATATTTTTGGTCTTCATTACCTACAGTACTAACCATGATGTAACAGTAATGATGACTCTTTATAATAAAGGTAAATCTTGACTAGGTTGACGTAGTTTACATCTGGACTAATTTGATTGGTTCGATTGGGTTACAAGAAACCAGCATAGATTTGTAATATTAAGGAAGATAAATTTAGGGAGGAAGATGAAATTGTGTAATTATAATTTGAAGTGAATGTCATTACCCCATTGGAGTATGAGATGTAGAATTAAAATTAGTTTATTTCTAGTGATGAAAATCAATTAGAGCACATTAGGTCATGAAATGATGTGTAAAACATATGAACAATTTAGTCTAATGTTAATGTAATTTATAGTATTTTCACATTTTAGGACAGATGGAAATTAACCCCAAACATTCGAGATGCAAAACATGTAATACAAACATTGACACTGCAACTCCTCACGGTGGCATTGCATATTTTTTTTTGTAATGCCAAACATGTGCCGAGGGGAACACATATACATGCTGTCAATGAAAATGTACACGGCGACAGTATTCCATGTGCTAATAAATTACAGTAGATACGCTCATTGCTCACAAATTAAGTCAACAAATAACATAATGTGCCTTTAGAGTGCACATGTACCAGAAAAGCACCCGTGGACTCCCCATATTTTGGCTTCTTTGTCCGAGATTTGGATTTCAGTTGCACCCATACAGCCCACCCCCATGTCCTAGCGAGGTGGATGAAGCATCCATTATCCTATAAATCATTGCAATCCCTTATGAAAATTTACCAATTGATATGGGTTTATTCAGGATCCCTCTGAGATACACAATTATTTATAAGCCCTACTGCTTTCCATGTGAATTTCCTCTGCAATTGACGTCGTGTCTTAGTTTTGCATTTACAATTCTGTTTTTGATAAGTTTCATAATGACACCCACATGTAGCACATGAATATATCCAGCAAGGACTTCGCTACACTGCAAATGGGTTCGAAAATTAATCTTAAAATTTTGCTACCTAAAATATCACATGAAACAGGGAACATCTCATTTTTTGAAGAAATTTGACCTGTCCTCTAGTACGAAACTATCCTCTGCCCCCAAAGATGCACTGTGTACTACTGTACAACCTGTAACACCGATATACACTGTTGTACACTCAGTTGAGGGAAATGAAGCATAATCAAGAAAGTCCAGGAAATGGGTTATGGAATTTGTATTGAATGTGAACTGAAGGTTGAATAAGTTCAGAGTGAAATACTTTATAACTATTTTGTATAGCTTATTAAAGTGTGATGCAAAACACATTAGAATATTTTGCATGTATGTCCGTTAAACACTGAAAAATATGTTGCTTTTATTTTCCCACATTGGATAGCCGTATCAATTTTGAATCTTCGGAAGGGATAAGAACCATGTGGTCGTGATCCAGCAACCTGAAAGAGTCAACATTACACCCAGAGTTGTTTGACAGTGGACACCGTGTGTACCAGGTAATACCCTTTTGTTCCTGTATTTGAAATATAGGATTAGCAAACTGAAAGGAATTAGCAGCCTTATTAGCTAACAAGAGGAGCAAAGGCTCAAACTGGAAAATGTTACTATATGGTTATATTACACCCTGAATGTACATGAATTTAGAGTAATCAGGGACACCTGAGATGATTGTATCAATATAAAGAGCATTACTTGATGAGAACGTCATAATGAAATGTATTGACTGTATTTGTGCAGTTTTAGGATAGAGAACTGGACAAGGGAAGAACTGGGAGAAATGGTAGGACTGTATTTATTTAAGATAGAAATCAGTAGTCATTAAAATGGATGAGTAACAAAACTTAGCATTCTTACAAATGAAGTGATTGTTACAAAGAATGGTATAAGATGTATTAATGTATTGTTGGATGTCCCATTGTATATAATGTATACATAATGTAAACCACTTTTTATGGCATCGAGCTCTTGAGCTGGAATCCCATTTAGTGGGTGACCAAATTTTGCGCGACAGAAGAAGTGAGTGCATGCACCCGCGGAAGGAAATATTAATAACAATACATTGATATATGAGGAAATGTACCCCTTGTATAGAAACTTGAAAATGAAATTGTGTCAGTTATACCTACAAATAATTTTTGTCACATAACAGAGATACCCCATTTTAGTTTCAAGAGAAAAGTGATAGTTCCTATGGATGAATTTCTAGAATGAAGAATGTATTGAATGACATGAGTAAAAGTAACGAAGGATAACCATGTAAACAAAAACAACAGATTAGGCGTTTATGTAACCATAATATTAAATGAACTGGAATGCTAGAAGACTAGAAGGAATGCATTTTTAACGGTCATGGATACTTAAATAATCTTATAACCAACATTATTATGGAATCTGAAGTTATTACTGTATTTCACCATATCTCCCAAATCACATTGAATATACTGTACAGATATACCAAGCCCGGCCATATCTCGATCTTAGTCATAACAGCGAAATAGGGTTTTTGTTTAGATGGACTAAATCATTGCATAGACATTGCCAATAAAAGTAATATTCCAATATGATCATTAAGTCAGGGTTAATTCTATAATAGATTAGAAACAACGAGTCTGTTATTCAGCAAGAAGATGTTGGGATGTGTCTACTCAATTCAAACCCTGCTCTTTTTGGACCAGGTCAGGGTTAGCCCCAGACTGTTATTTTGAAATAATGTATAAAACATAACATTTATATTGGTCACCTGAGTTACTCCTTTAACCTACTGTTATCCTGAAATTTGAAAAGAAATGTATTGAAAAAGGTATTCATGTGTGATGGCAATGAATCCTTTCAGGTTTTTGAGTTATTGTTAATGACTGTACCCTAACAATGCATATCGCACTCCCTCTGTTTTCAGAATAAAGTATCCAGTGATAAATGTTGCAAGCAAGTAAAGCACTATACATGTTTTGCTCCATTGTTGCTAATGTATTATAGCACTTTTCGATGGATGTGTTAAAATGTGCGAAGTATTGATGGTGTTAATTTATGACAGTTGATATTATAGCTTTGAGTATTGTTATTGTTTTAACTTGAATTCATTGAAGCCAAAAATGTAAATTTCAGGAAAGAAGGATTGAGTTGGCATTTCATTCAGAAATGACAGGTAAGCAATACAATCAAGAAGAATGTAATTATTTCATATTAATAAATTAATTAAAAGAACTTTAATAGTTGATGAAGCTGACGGTGTACATGCAAGGTATGGTCTATGCTCTTATTTATGATAGGGGATAAATGTGCTGATATGTTACAGAGGGAAAATATTGAAGCCCATCTATAAAGTCCGAATGAAAGTCATAGTTAATGGTCAATTTATGTATAATATCTCTTACTATATGTCATCGCTATTTTTTTCACATCCTTGGATCTTTATGTACTAATGTTTAGTTCAATTCAACAAAGTCGGGGGAGCTGATGTAATACCCTGGGCGACGGTGTCCCAGGTGAAGGTTATTGGAGCACTTTTCTTTTCAAGTACTTTTATGGCCTATATTAGTCAGACAAGCAATGTTAGATGCTTCTAGTGTGTTTCATTGTACCAGTCAAGGTTTTAGATGCTGCAATTTCAGCTAAAGAATGACCAGATTAATGTTTTTGGAACAGGTTAAAGTTTTTGGTTCAGGTCTCATTTCTAAGTATTTTAAGCCCTATCTTGACCAAACTTGCATGGATGATACCTGTAAGGATGCACACTACTGAACTGGCTTCATATGCTGGATCTGACCTACATTTTCCGGATGAGTGACTAGGTGTAATTTTTTGGAGTAGAACTCCTTTTCATGTAACTGTAAGCCCTATATTGACCAAACTTGTGTTGATGATGCATTCTAAGGATGCACACTACTGGACTTGCTTCGGATGCTGGATTTGAGCTATATTTTGCAGATGAGTAACCATTTGAAAGTTTTTTGAGTAGATTTCATTTCGAATTAACTATAAGCCCTATGTAGACTAAACTTGCATGGATGATGCGTCTAAGGATGCACAACTGGATTTGTTTTGGATGCTGTATTTGACGTACATTTTCAGGACGATGAAGCAGGTTAAAGTTTTTGGAGCAGATCTCATTTCCGAGTAACTATAATGCCTATCTGAAACAAACTAGCATGGGTGATGCATCAAGGGACAAGCACTCTCAAACTTGCTTTGGATATCGGAATTGACTGTCATTTTCTGGACGAGTGAGTAGTTTAAAGTTTTCAGATAAGTATATTCCCGAGTAACTGCAATCCCCATGAGACCAAAATTGCATAAATGTTGCATCTTGGGATGCACACTCCTAGATTATTAGTTTATTGTGGGACTGCTTTACTTTAAAGACAACATTCGTTGAGGTGAGACCTAGACCTAGAATGTTATTCTTTACTGTAGTAATCATATGCAGAATAATATTGCAGAGCTGAAGAACTTCCTCAGATGTTCAGGAGACATAAAACACGGTAATCAATTATTTTTTCTATGTTCTGAAAAATGTTTTATGGCTTAGATCATGAACGATCAAAACCTTTTTTACTATTACTTTGAAATAACAAATTTTATGGGTGTGCTGGCCAGGGGTTGGAGTTTCAATCTTGTTGTTTTAATGGTATAAAGAGATGCACAAATTTACATGTATATCCCCCTTGAAATGTTAGAACTGGACTTTGCATTATATTTTTTTTACTCTAACCACAAAATGATATCCCCTCAAACCAGTCATGTATCCTCAAAGCACAAACTTAGAATCGAGGAAGAAATCAATTGTTCAGGTGTGCATGAATGATACCAATATGTACAAGAACTTTAATTTAATTTTGAGTAATGTAAACAAAGAATAAGTATAGATGGAAAGAACTATGTAGTTGAAAGAAAAAATGCATGATGTGCATTTTCCATGTTTGGCTAACAGCTGATGAATTATCGAAAAGTTACAAGCCACCGCTTGTCCAGATCAGATCAGTCAGTGTCTATGGCTTTTACGACATTCTCGAGGAACTTGGCCGGTAAGTGAAGCACTGAAGAAGGTTGTTGTGTTGAAGAAATAAAACTTAATGACTGTTCATTTCCTTAGATAAGGGAAAAGAATTATTTACAGAAAAAATGTATCTTGCAATTGTCAACAAATGTTATTGATGAACCATTATGTCTGGTGTGGACAACCTTTAAGACCAAGTTTCAAACATATGGAATGGATATTTTAATATCTTTTGTTGTATTATAGTGGTGCTTTTGGAGTTGTGCATCAATGTGTAGAGAAGGACAGTGGCAGAAAGTATCTTGCAAAGTTTATCAATACTCCTTACCCAGTGGCTAAGGCCACTGTGAAGAATGAAATTAGGATAATGAGCCAACTCCATCATCCAAAAATTCTTCAGATCAAGGAGGCATTTGAGGATCATAAGGAAATGATTTTAATTCTGGAATTGTAAGTAAAACAGAGATATTCATGAAATGATTACAATACCACATCGTTGATACCTTGGTATATACCCATGTATGTAAGACTCCAAAGTGTGAAGGTCAGGCCAAAGTGAAATGGTCTTCAGCAAACAACGATGGCTCACTGTGTTTACGGAGGCCATAGTCCGATGGTTCGTTTCCATTGAGACGGGCTGCGTGAAAGTGCGATGGTTATGATACGGCAAAGTGTGACTGTGCAGAGTTAGCCCCACTAGTCCAACTCGCCAATCACTGATGCTGTTGTCCTGCCTTCAAAAGCCATTAACTCAGTGTTTGTCCTCCAATACAAGTTTACCGATTTTACTTATGTCTTGTACCCACCAGAGATATTAGAGTTAGTCCTCGCACATTGCTCGTCTGATTTGGGTTAGTCTTTGAATGCTATTGGAATAATAATGTGTTTATTCAAACCCACCTGAGAGATTAGGGTTAGTCCTCGCACACTTTTCTACTGATTTGGGTTAGTCTTGAACCCCACCCAAGCTATCAAGTTATAGTTGTTAAGCACTTTTCGACTGATTAGGGTTAGTATTTGGAGAAGAGAAGGGTTAGGACGATCATTTGCTATTCATTTGTATTTAATTAAAACATTCGGACCTTTGCATGAATGCCTTGCATTTTTGCAGTTGTACTCTGGCGTCATAAACGTTAAGATTTTCCGCACTATCGGACCCTAGCGTGTTAAACCAGGGGGGTATGGCGCATAACTTGTGAGTTCGGCCAGACTTTCAAACTTTGGAGTCCCAATGCACTTGCATAGATATATATTGTCACCAATGATAATTAATTTAAAATTTAAAATTACTTTAAAACCCAGCTTTTTGCTAATTTGATTACATCATAAAGAAAATGTAAGGGAAACACCTCAAGATCATTCAATGACCTTTACAGACTTTGTACCTGTGAACCAGCAAGGGGGAGGGGAAATAATCCACTTTTTCAATTGTAATAGTCACAGTTTGCATAAGTCTGGGTTTTGCAGGTAAATAAGGAGAGCTGTTAAAGTGTTGACAATTCAGGACTTCCAAGTAAATAGAATGAATAACTAAAGGTGGACTATGTGTAAATATTTATAAATTAGAGCATGTTTTATTGAACTTCATTATTTCATTCAATTTTATATAAATAATTTATCTGTTCCAGTCAATATCATGTGCTAGAACTGACATTTCTTCAACACTGTTTGATGGCCCGGTATGCCATTACGAAGTTCACAACATGTCTATTAGGATGTACTAGATTCTGTGCGTCTTAAGGAATGCTTGTTTTGGGTAATGTCTTCCAATGTAAAAAGGTGCTATGTCCTTGAAATCCTTTATAGTACCTAAAGAAATTGTGATCGGGCCTAAACGATTGTTTTGAAAAGAGACATAGCCCTCGCGATTGCAAAAAAGAGCCTCCTTTCACTTCAGGGTTAGGGTTAGGGTTAGGTTAGGGTTAGGGTAGGGTTAGGGTTAGGGTTAGGGTACAGGATAAAAACGAAAATGATCACGGATTTAAGTGATCAAGTAGGTCAATGGGGATTAAAGGATAAAGTAAAAGTGAAAGTGAAAGTCAGGGATAGAAGTAATAGTAAAGGAAATAGTGGAATTTTCCGAAGCTCATAACTTTCTTATTTATCGTCGGATTAAGACGAGTTTGGTGTCGTTGGAAAACTAAGAAGACGGACAACATGACTAAGTCAGAGGCATAAAACCCAGATGCCAGGAAAAGGGAGAAAAGGTGGCTTCTTATTTACACCAAAGATTGTGCTTAGAAATTGAGAAATTGAGAATTTTTGACCATTCTGAGTAAGGGTTAGGGTTAGGATAAGGGTATAGGCACAAAACGAAGATGAACTATCTAGGTCATGAACTATCAAGGTCAAATTAAAGTGAAAGTGAAAGTCATGGATAGAAGTAATAGGATAGGAAATAGTGGAATTTTCCGAAGCTCATAACTTTCTTATTTATCATCCGATTAAGGCGATATTGGTGTCGTTGGAAAGCTAAGAAGACGGACAACATAACTAAGTCAGAGGCATAAAACCCAGGTATCAGGAAAAGAGAGAAAAGTTGGCTTTTAATTTACACCAAGGATTGAGCTTAGAAATTGAGAAATTGAGAATTTTTGACCATTTTCAACCTCCCATATCTGGAGAATGGTATGCAATCGACACACCGCACTTGTGTCAGTGATACACCCCGATCGGGACTCCTAGAAGCTGCAAAGAGTTAGTAGAAATACTTTCTCCCTCAAAAGATATTAATGACTGAACATGCAGAAAATGTACAAAAGTCTTAGAAAATCTGAGACAGGGGTTGGACGGTTTTTTGTGGTCAGCTCCAGACAACCTGGACGTTGCTGAGGAGGGTTAGGGTTAGGGTATAGGCAAAAAGCGAAGATGACGGAATGAGGTCATGACGGAAGGTTAGGTCAAACCAAATGAAAGTGAAAGTGAAAGTCATGGATAGAAGTCATAGTAAAGGAAATAGTGGAATTTTCCGAAGCTCATAACTCTCTTATTTATTATCGGATTTAGACGAGTTTGGTGTCGTTGGAAAGGTAAGAAATGTTTCTAATTGTTCACAATACTTGGTTTGTCAATAAAGCAAGTCGCTATTAAACATCAGTGCCTTAAGTGATTTTGACATGTCGCGACACCAGATATGTCCTTATTTTTGTTGATTACTTATCGAATGAAATTTTTTGACTTTATATTTGTATGGTTAACTAAGACGAAGGAAAATGAAGCCTAATATTACTTTAATTCCCTGTATTTACAAGAATTACAAGAAAAATGTATATTTGTTGTGACTTAAAATGCAACTTACCTATGAGCAGAGATCATATGGAGGGAAGCTATCAAATATTTCTTTTAATTTCAAGTTATTCAATAAATCTAATAAAGGTTGAATTTTCTCTAATATGAAGTATGGAAAGATTAAAAAGCCAAAATCAGCTAAAAAGGGAAATAAATATCTAACCCTGGGGTTCGAAAGTGTAAAATGTAACTTAATCATTTTGTGAAGTTTTTGAAATGTTTAAATGGCACCAAAGTATAGTATGTGACGATTTTACAAAATATAACATGCATCTATTGTTCACAATACTCTGTTAGTGGAAAAATCATGTCGGGGCTAAAAAAGATTGACTTAAGTGATATCGACATGTCGCGACTCCTGATTTGTAGTTATTTTTGTTGATTACGTACAGAACTTTAATTTTTTTTATTCATACTTGTACGGTTAACTTAGACAAAGAAGAAACAAACTTAATTTTACTTCATTTTCCTGTATTTGTCCAAATAATACTATAGAAATGTATTTTCTTAAATCTGGGGTTAGAAAGTGTAAAATGTAACATAATCATTTTAGTAACTTTAAGTACTGATTGAACTGAAACAAAGTAGAATATGTCTTGAATTTACAAAATGTAACATGTTTCTAACTGTTCGCAATGCTGGGTTAGTTGAAAAATCAAGTCGCAACAATTTAAGAATGACTGATGTGATTTCGACATGTCGCGACACCAGATATGTCCTAATTTTTGTCGATTACATCTAAAATAAATGTTTTTTGCTTTATATTTGTACGGTTAAGTAAGTCGAAGGAAATTGAAGCCTAATTTCACTGTAATTCCCTATACATAAGAGAAATACAAGAAAAAATGTCTATTGTTGGGACTTGGAAAAATTCAACTTCAATGCTACTTACCTCTGAGCAGAGGTCATTTGGAGGGAAGCTGTCAAATATTTCTTTCTTTTTTTTTTCCTGGTTATTCATATTCAATGAAGGCTGATTTTCCTGTAATATAAAATATGAAATGAGTAATAAGAATAAATAGCCAAAAAGGGAATGTATATCATAACCCTGGGGTTAGAAAGTGTAAAATGTAACTTAATCATTTTCTGAATTTTATTTGCTATCTAAATTGAAAAAAAGTATAGTATGTGAGAACTTAACAAGCTATATCATATTTCTAATCGTTCGCAATACTTGGTTAGTTGAAAAATGATGTCGCAACCTCTGAAGAATGATTTTAGTGATTTTGACATGTCGCGACACCTGATTTGTCCTTATTTCTGTTGATTACATACAGAACTTGAATATTTTTATTTATACCTATACGGTTAACTTAGACAAAGAAGAAACAAACTTTATTTTATTTTATTTACATGTATTCTTTAAAAAATACAGTATAAATGAATTTTCTTAAACCTGAGGTTAGAAAGTGTAAAATGTAACTGAAATATTTTGTGAACTTTATGCACTGTTATAATAGCAACAAAGTAGAATATGTGTTGAATTAACTAAATATAGCTTGATTCTAACTGTCCGCAACACTCGGTTAGTCGAAAAATCATGTCGCAACTGAACAAGGGCCACTTAAGTAATTTCGAGATGTCGCGACTCCTGATTGGCCCCTACTTTTGTCGATTACCTATCAAGCTTAAGTTTTTTTGCTTTTTATTTGTACGGTTAACTTAGACGAAGAAAAAGCAAGCTTAATCTTAGTTAAATTCCCCGTATTTTTAAGAAATACAAGAAAAATGGAATTTTGTAGGGACTTGAAAATTTCACCTTAAATGCTGCTTACCTCTGAGCAGAGGTCATTTGGAGGGAAGCTGTGAAATATTTTCTCTAATTTCAGGTTATTCATATTAAATAAAGGTTGATTTTCTTCTACTATCAAATATAAATTGAATTATAAGCAAAAATTAGCCAAAAAGGGAAATATAAATTTCACTTTGGGGTTTAGAAATAGGAGTGAAACGGTTCACCGCGGTATCGATTCACCGCGGTATTTTTTCTCGGTTTGATACACGGTGCAAAATCTCTAATTTTCGGTTCGGTTCATTTTTCGATCGGGATCGTTATTCAGTCGGGTTTGGCATGAGGCAAAACACGTTACTCAGTATAAATAAGTATAGAAAACGTAAATTTTTGATGACTGATAGCTTGTAAATAATTTTTGAAAGTCAAA